CCTGTTGACTCAATTTTTTGAGGTATGAAATGACACTATAACTGAGTCCATACTCCATACTGTCTGCTATTAGGTTAGGTGCTCCCATCATTCTAACAGCTTTTTTCAAGGGCTATGGGAAAAAAGGAAACATAATTCAATATTAAGCATGTTAAAAATTCATGGCCCATGTATAGATTTTATTTTTTAAAATTCTCCAAAATAATTTCTGCTTCTTTTCCTCCAAAATAAATAATATAGCTATATTTGTATTAAAGTAAAATGTATGTCAGTGGCAAAAAGAGCATCTGAAATAGTTAAAAAGGAATAGAGGTCAAAATAATAATTCTCAAGGCAAGAAGGGTGAAGTACTAGACTATTTAACCATTGGGAAATATTCATTTGGAACAGGAGACACACTATAGAGGAAGATGTGATAAAACTTGGGTATTTAAGTGAAAAGAAAAATACTTAAGGAAAATACAAGATTTCTACCTTAGATAACTGGATGGGTAGTGACTCAATCACTCACAAGCTATATGACCTTGAACCAAGTTATGTAACTTCTTTTTTTAAAAATATATTTATTTATTTAGTTTTAGGTGGACACAATATCTTTATTTTATTTTTATGTGGTGTTGAGGATCGAACCCAGCACCCAGCGTACTCCAGGTGAGCATGCTACCACTTGAGCCACATCCCCAGCCCGTTATGTAACTTCTTTATGCCTCAATTTCTCACAAGTAAAATGGGGTAATAAGACTACCTGCCCTTCTAAGGTTGTCATGGGATTACAAAATGTAAATCACCTATAAAAGCATCTGGTACACAAGTAAGCATTCAATGGGTGCTAACAATTACTATCATTAACTTAGCTAAAAATGAAACAAGCTCTGAAGAAAAAAATGAGGAAAAAAATCTAAATTTATAATGGATATGATACAGTGAAAAACTTTCAATTATAAGAACAGACTAATTGAGAACTTTGTGCAATTAAAAAAAAATCTCTGACAAACTAGAAAGTGTATGAGCACTGGTATCAATCTGGAATCAAATTCCAGCTCTGATATTTAATACCCATGCAGCTTTGGCCAAGTCCTCAGAGTTGCTATGAAACATAAATGAGTCAACATATGCACTAAGTTTTCTTCCCCATTCACTCTTATACACGGAAGGTACTGTGTGCTAGACGTTCAATATAAGTTATCTCTTATAACCATAAAATGTTATGATTTTCAAAGCTCAAGAAATTATAATCTTCTAGTTATATTAGGGACCATTTAGAAAGTTATAGCAAAAAGCTGTAGCATTTCTGCAAAAGCAGAAGTTGGGGCTGGGGATGTGGTTCAGTAGTAGAGCACTTGCCTAGTATGCACAAGGCCCTGGATTCCATCCCCAGCACTGCAAAAAAACAACAACAATAAAAAAGGCAGAAGTAATATTTAAAAGTGGTTTAGTCTTTTTGTTAAGAAGTTACTTTTCACAAACTAAATAAATGTATTTAATAAACCATGTTATTAGTCTAACTATGATCCACTAGTTTTAAAGTAGTCCAGTCTTATAAAAGTGTATGGTTCTATGAGCATACCCCTTATTCACCTAAAAAGGTATTCTAGATGTTTTAGAAAATAATACAACACACATCATTTTTTCACCCTTAAAAATAATTATAAACCTATAATTTTAAGGGTGGTACCAACAATCAAGGTTAAAAGTATAAATTCTTTTTGTTTTTCTGGTAGCAGGGATTGAATACAGGGGCATTAGCCACTATGTCACATCCCTAGCCATTTTTATTTTTTTAATTTGGAGACAGGATCTCACTAAGTTGCTGAGGCTGGCTTTGAACTTGCAATCCTTCTGCCTCATTCTCCCAAGCCACTGGGCTTATAGGCATACACTACCGCTCCCAGCTAAAAGCATAATTCTAAAGCCAGACTCCTTCTAAAGGGAGACTGAATTCTGGTATCTCTCGTCCACCCATATATTAGCTATGTAGCCTTGGAAAAATTAACTTAACCTTTTAGTGCTTTAGTTCCCTCATCTGTGAAACAGGAAAATAACCATTTCTAAGAACCTCATAGGTTGACTATGTGAACTAAATGAAGTAACGTGTAAAGTGCTTTAAGACAGTACCTGGCCTAGGGAAAGCACTATATAAATGTTCTCATGATCATGATTCATTATTCTGTAAATCACTGAAACCTATCTTTATCATTACATCTATGCCAGTCATTTGTACACTCAATTTTCAAGGCATTTAAACTATAACAGCAATAAATGAAAACTTATAACACCTACAATAAGTTATTAGCACAATATAAAATTTTATAACATTCAACTTTTAATAATATTCTTACCCCGAGATAGTAGGGAGGCATTGTCTTCAAATAACTTTCGAATGACTGTCTCCATTTCAATGTTGGTTTTGCTTTATGCACTTTAAACAAGTCATCTAGAAATATATATTGTGAATAAACTATCATCACATGTTGTTTTCACACATAAAAGCCAAATCGAAGAGTTTCCTCTTTGAAGTCTGCTTTGTTACTTGTGAGACAGTAAAATTAGTCAAACATTTTTAACAAAATTAAAAGCAGTAAAATCTCTAGATTTGGTGTTTAATACCATTTTGAAAATGAAAAGGTGCCAACTACAGTTGAAACATTTAATAATAAAGTAGAATAAAAAATATACAAGGAAACCCATGCCCTGTTTAACCTAGACACCAAACAATTTGTTTGAAGAAAGAAGTATGCGTACACTTTCTATTTTATTTTTTAAAATGTTTTGGTACTGGACACTTAACCCAGGGGTACTTTACCATGGAGCCACATCCCTAGCTTTTTTTTTTTTTTTTTTTTTTTTTCCAATTTTGAGACCAGATCTCATTAAGTTGCTGAGACAGGCTTAAACTTTGGATCCTCGTGCCTCAGCCTCCTAAGTGGCTAGGATTATAGGCATGTGCCACCATTTCTGGCAACATTTTCTATTAAAACATATTTACTAATATTATGACTATAACTTGAAAATCTGATCCTTTTCATGAAGGAAATGAAGTTTTCTCCAGTAATACTCTTCAAAATATGACATCCAGAAACTAACCTAGAAACTAACCTCAAGCTTTCTTATAACATTTTGGAACTGATTCTTTTGCTGAATATATTTGATAAATGAAGATAAAGTTATATAAATTGCTTAGAAAATACACTCAGATTTTGTGAATGTAGTATGCACCTACAAAATGTTTAATACACCAAAAGAAATCCTATATTCTTGATTCTGTGTAAGAACTCAGTTACAGAAAAACTAGCATATTTAATTTAAAAAATTTAAATACAAATACCTTCACTAGTTTATAGAATAAAATATATTTCAATATCAACTTTCAATTTATCACAAGTATGACAGATTGTTATATAAAATTTTCCTTAAATAGGCTTAATATTTTAAAGTGTTAAAATATTTTCATTAATTTTTCAGAATGAAAATTACTAAGGAATATTCTCAAAGTTCATCCTTAGGAAAAATTTTATATGTGAGAACATGATGAGTGACTTACCTAAAAGGGGAAGGAGAACTGGATAATTGTAAGGCATCACAAATAAATTGACACAGTTCAGTGCTGTACTGGYTTTCAAGTAACCAAAAGGATGACCAAGTTCACTATATTTTGCACTATTGCTCACATATACCTGCCAACATGTTTGAGGAGATTTCCTTTCCAGGATAAACTGAGTCAGTGGTGAAGGTTCCAACTCATATTTGTCAAAAGGCAGTTTGTCTATAACCATTGGTTCACAGTCTGTACAGGAAAACTTCACTACAGGATGAGATGTACGAGGTGGCTACAAGGAAAAGTCTTGGTATTAATATTTATACAAAATACCAGAAACAACTCACTTTAAGTACCTTTGCCTATCAAAAGGTACTCAGTTCCTTAGTGTTGCTAATGAGTTCAATTTACTACTAAAAGAACCATTAAACTGAAATTCTTGAATTATATAATATTCACAAGAAAGACAAAACACTATAAAATCCATATATAATGAAAATCTTTTTAAGTCTTAAAATCAAATTTATCAGAAGCTAAATACAAAATTTTGTAATTAAGTATTCAATTAATTTTTATATTCAAGATATAAGAAACGTATAGAAACTCCCAAGTCCTCATTTGAAACAAATTAATGACTTGTACAGACTAGTAATTTGGTAGTTTCCAAACTAATTATACACCTTGATCAAATTTTACAATACTATTCAGATATATATTTATGTTATTAATATAGATGTACATTATAAATACATAAGTAACAAAGTAACCAAAATGATGACCACTTCACTATATTTTGCACTACTGTTAAGAAATCTCAAGATGTAGCCCTATAGCTCTTATTTTCTTCACAATTGGTGAAGTTTTTAGTGAGAGGACCATAAGGGATAAAACAAAGTGCTTTTTAAATTAATTATTAGTTAGGAGAAAATAAAACCACTAATCTAAGTTCTAGTGTTTCCTTCCCTATTTCCCAGTGGATTATTCAGGTTATCCCTGTGGTATACGAACTCTGCTTTAGAGACCCCTCTACCAGGTATAAAAAACATAATATTAAAAAAAGGAATGTAATGCTATTTATTATTTAATAACTCCATGGCTTCAGTTACTGTCTGTACCCTGGTGGCTTCTCTCAATTCTACTGTGGGGGACCAGATCTACTTTATTTAAGTATCCAACTATTTATTTGATGTAAACTAAATCTTCTAAAGGTCCCTCATATACATTATATCTTAATTCATTATTTTTCCCCGAATCACAAAACCTGTTCTAAAAACCTAAATACTATCCTTGATATTGCACACACCCCCCACATCTATATTTAACTGTCACAAAGACCTAAGTAAAATAACACTTATTCCAAAACAGCAGGTGTATAGTACTAGTTGCTGTCTTTGATCAAGAACAAATTCTCAACTCTCTAGAAACTTTAATTCAAGTCTTTATATTTCTCAGAGTAGACTAATACAACTCTTTTATATAAGTAGTCTCCTTAATGTAGTCAGCCCCCTCCAAACAATCCTGATGCCATAAAATATAAATATGCTCATATGATTTTCCTACCTAAAATTATCCAAATAACTTTATTATTAAATAAAGTAATTATTTATTTCATTATTTATTTAACTTATTAAAATTACTTTTACCAATAAAAGTAATATCAATCATCTAAAATAGGGTCCAGACTTTTTTCATGTCACATACAAACAAGATTCTAGATGATCTGTTCCCTGAATTTCCACCACATTGCATACAGACAGACTCTGTGCTCTAATTCTTCAATAGGTCATCACCTTTCTTGACTATGTTTTCACATATTAACCCTGACTACTTGATCATTTTCTCCTTTGCATACTGCCATTACACTAAATTCTTAAGAATGATTTGGGAAGAACCAATCTCTAAGAGACTTTCCTGACACTCCCCACCACCCTGTGCTCTAAACACAAAAGGCAGTGAGGACCCACCTCCTCTGGCTCTGTTCCACCCCTCTATTAAGTTGAAATACTGTACTCTGAGTTGCCTGTATGGATATGTTACCCATGGTGGGGTTTAAGAAGTTAAGTAAATAGCTGGGTGCAGTGGAGGCTGAGGCAGAAGGATAGTAAGTTCCAGGCCAGCCTGGGCAACCTAGCAAACCCCTGTTTCAAAATAAAAAGGTCTGAGGATACAGCTTAGTGGTAAAGCATCCTGGGTTCAATTCCCGGGGGGTGGGGGGGGGGGAGGTTAAGTATTGTCTTATTTCTCTTGTGCTTCTGTACCTAGCTACATCTAATGTTTTAGTTTGTGAAACATATTTATTTTTTATAATGAAAATACTGAGATCCAAAAGGAAAAGCAGAGGGAAAAATCCTCTAAAACTTGGTATTTCATCTTATCCCCTAATAATGCTATGAGATAGGAGCTATCTCAACAGATGGGAAACTGAGGCTTAGAAGAAAATAATTAACCAAAGGTGCACAGCCTTCAGAACCAATTTCTAATAAATCACATTCAGTAGTAACACTTCTTGTCTGATAGTTATAATTTACAAAATTATTTCCCCTGAGAACCTTGAGTTACTAAATTTTGCCAGTTTTTTCTCCAATATTATCTCATTTTGATGATTCTCTCTTCTGTCATCTTAATTCAAAACTCTTGGTATCTCTTATGTGAACCATATCATTAGCCCTATATGTAATCTCCCTGCCTTCCATCTCACTCCTTTTAATTTTGCCACACTTAACACCAACCACGTTTATTTTTCTAAAGTGACACTGTTAAAAAACATCTTCAATTGTTCTTGGAATCCCACTAGAAAAAAGCTCACATTCCATAACCTTGCTTTTATTTATTTATTTATTTTTTTTTTTTTGGAGAGAGTGAGAGAGGGAGAGAGAGAGGAGAGAGAGAGAATTTTAATATTTATTTATTTTTAAGTTCTCGTCGGACACAACATCTTTGTTGGTATGTGGTGCTGAGGATCGAACCCGGGCCGCATGCATGCCAGGCGAGCGCGCTACCGCTTAAGCCACATCCCCAGCCCTCCATAACCTTGCTTTTAAAGTCATTAGCAATTTAGCTAATAGCATTCTCAATTTCCTACACATGTGTAGGACATGCCCAGCTACTTGTTCTCCTCTAAATATACCACTTTCTTTTTTACTTCCATACTTTTTTCTCATAGTATTTCTACCTCCAGCTGAAATCTACTTACTTTCTATGGCTTTTAACAATTTGCAATAGACCACCAGAGCAATATTAATAAGTAAGGATTCGAATTTCTTTTCATTAAGGTCTGCCAAGTACCATATGTACTGCTGAAGGTATTAAACATAATAAAAGATATAACAAAACAGCATTTCTTACAAATATGGATGGTAAGAGTTAAAATGGGTCAGAAAAGAAAGGAAAACTACCAAAGAAACTGAAAAGCTTCTCTAAAGGCCACTCTAAAACTAGACTACAATGGTTCAATTTAAAAAAAGAAAATAAACCAAAATGCCTCAATGAAATTTCTAAGACCTTAATTTCTTGTTGTACTTCATTAAATCCCTAATGAATAAAGACCTAATGGACCTAAGTTTACAAATTTTGTATAACTGATATAAGATTTAAGGTACAAAAGGTTTCAAACGGGTTCTGCTTAACTCATAAATAATAGTTGCATGGAACATTTTTAAAGGCTGTTTAATGCTTTTTGAAATATAACTCTTCTAATAAAAAAAAAAAAAAAAAAAAAAACCCTCTTGTCATGTTCTCCCAATAGAATATCCTTTGGTGTCCTCAGATATTAGAAAAAAACGAAAGTAAAAAAAAAAAAAAAATACCTAAGATAAAACAAAATGCACCAAGAAGACCAAAAAGAATTAATAAAATATAACATATTATTATCAGAAACATAAAAAAAAAAAAAAAAAAAACCCTCTTGTCATGTTCTCCCAATAGAATATCCTTTGGTGTCCTCAGATATTAGAAAAAAACGAAAGTAAAGAAAAAAAAAAAATACCTAAGATAAAACAAAATGCACCAAGAAGACCAAAAAGAATTAATAAAATATAACATATTATTATCAGAAACATATAATGAATACTGATGATTCACCATAATCACTGAATAAACTTCATTCACTGTTCCTAAAAATAATTTATACAAACAAGACTAGAAAATCATTTCTAACTTAAATCTCTAAGTTGCAACACTGAACATAACTAAAATCAGACAAGTCAACATCAATTTCTGACTAAGACCTGAAAGATTGCAGGCAAACTGTTAGAACAATTTCCTAAGCCTTCATTTAAATTTCAAATTGCGTCCCAGAGACAAATCCACATGCTACATTATGTTTAGAGTCCAAAAAGGAAATCTTATTGCATTTATGACTCTGTATCCAGATGCCAATAACAAAATATAAGCACTGTATTAGATTCTAAAGGGAACAGATGCCTTTTTTTCTTACTGGTTCATTATGAACAATACAATATACTACAGCATATGATGGCACTCTGAACATCTGTCTAATTCCTGCAAATGAGCCACACCTTTAACTGACAATAATACTTAGAAATAATACAAAAGGCGGATATAGTCATCTCTCTGGTACTTACTAGTGTTGGAGAATTCTGATCTGGCCAAAAAGATTCTGGAACAGGCCAATGACCTATAGGAACCCCAGTTTTAGGATTTGGTCTGACATATATGAGTTTGTGACAGCTATGCCAAGGCTGAGATCCAAAAGGCCTTGATATATCCGGCTGCCCATCTGTAGCAGAGATGTTAAGACAAAGAAAGCATATATCATTAGAGGGAAAAAAAAAAAAAAACCGAAAAGTTAAATTATTCATTATTACTTAACTATAAAATATCCTAAAATTCATTCGTTTCTGGATTTCCCTTTTTTTTTTAATATGGCAGAATAGGATGACTGCTTAACATTTAAATTAGATTGCAATTCACTAGACAGTAAAGTCTGTAAATTCCATGGAAAAGTTCATCAGTTGAAAGAAGGTCCCAGAGCATCCTCTGCTTGTCCATCAGAACATGTAAAAAATACTTTATGAAACTCATCTGTTTAATGAATGAAGCCATTTCACCACCAAGCAACTAATTTGCCACCTTCATTTAGAGTCCAAAAACAGTGTCAAAACAAGTGCTAGGCACACAGTAAATATTGTTTAAGTATTGCTAGTTGAATATTCCTTACAAATCATTTTAAACTAAAGCCTAATAAAATAATATGCAAACCTAAATTCAAATCAACTGCCTTTAATCTAGAATAATTCTAGCAAAATTTTAACAATTCTCTTCAACAATATAGTAAACATTTACTTAGTTGCCTAAGCCAAGTATTAAAATAATTTTAAAATGAATATATTCTAACAATTTAATTAATTTAAATTTAATTAAAACCAGACACAATCATATAACTTAAGTCATATACCTACAATCTTTCATCTCTGACCTTTCTCTTCTTCCATGATCACTCCAGTGCATCACCTCTATCAAGTGTCATTAATGTCTTTCTAATTCTTGAAGTAAGTTTCATACAATACATAAGGTTTCAGATATAAAATATCCAAATGGTTCTTAGACCTACTGACTATTGCAAATAGTTCACAATCACAGAAGCTAAGAATATAGCCAACAGGGGCTGAGTTAAAAGAATCAAGCTTAATGGCAAAGGCTGGTTCTTCATTTTTGGACCCCCAGAAACCGTTAAGTTCTGATCAACTTAAACCTTCGAACAATAGTAGGAATTAAATATCTATAGTTGAACACTCTGATAATTAAGGGACATGCTAAAAACAAATAGAAACAATGATATAATAATATTAAAAAGCAAAATTAAAATTTGCTTATTAAAAAGGTGTTTGACTCTTACTAAAATTAAAGGCTATAAACAATAATTAATATAAAAAGGCAATCTACTGAACCACCTTTCAGTTTACCTTGACTTTCCTATTTCACATTCCCTTCTATCATCTCAATACTTGGCCTTATTAATCTTAAGGCCAATACACAGTAATTTTTCTCTTCCAATAATTGATAAAGCAAGTTTAGAATGTCTATAAGAAAAGTGCAATCATACCTTCTACAGGGGAAGGATCTGGTCCTGCTTTTTCAAAGTTTATTACCACCCCACTTTGTACTTTCTGCACCAAGGACTCCAGACATTGATTAAGCATTCTTGGAGAACATACAGAGTATGAGCGGCCTGAGATTAAAAAAAAATAATAAAATAAAAATAAATTAGGTAGACTAGTTAGTTTTAAGAATTCCAGCCTTTAGCGAGAACTATGGTGAGTGAGTTTCTGATAATGCTAACAAAAAATTCAATGGTAAAGTTGACTTATTTCATAATCTTAAGGAAGAATGAACAAAAATTATTATTTCCAACCACCCAAAACTCCCATGTTATGAGGATAGTTTTTTTTTTTTTTTCCTTCTAATTATAGGTAGATTAAATATAAAATCTTGGTCTCAACAAACCACAGTGTGGTGGTTGGGGAACTATGCATCCTCTCTATGAGCACTATCTCCAATTATTATCCAATATAATTGGATAATAACATCTAGTAGTAAAAATTCCCCCCAAATATTATTCCCATTAACAAAGATTTATCCCTAAGACTGATGCAAAGTACATGGAAGTTACTATATATACTGGCAGTTACTATATATATTAAATATTGCACTTTAATATATAAATGGTAGCATGTACATTTCTGAACTTCATTTGGCTTATTTACTTTAACATTACCTATCTTAAATTAATTCTCCTTTTGAACATTTTAATCTACAAAAAGCACTAAAATGCTAGCAATTAAAAAAAAAAACAACACTAATTTAGAGCTGGGGATATGACTCAATGGCAGCACGCTGGACTAGTATGTATAAGGCCCTGGGTTTGCTACCCAGAATGGTCAAAAAACCCCAACCTTTCCCCAAAATATACTAGTGGGAATAATTTAAACAGATTTTCAGCACAAATATCTAGATCTTTACAGTCTGATATTGTGGACAAGAGCTAGATGTGGCTATTTAAACTTGAAATATGGCTAGTCCAAAATGACTTGTACAGTAAGTATAAACTATACACTGATTTTGTAGACCTGGTGTGAAAAATGTAAATTTCATGTTGAAATAATATTTGGGATATACTGATTTAAACAAAATATCATTAACAATTTCACCTGCTACTTTTATCATTAACTCTGAGATTTATAACAACATATGAAAACTGAATTATATTTGTTATACAATGCTGATCCAGACCAACACTAAAAACCTTGATAGCTAAAAATCTTCGACCTACTATCTTATAATGTTATTTGTAATAAGCTTGACATGCAGTCTTATCAATAATTTCAGAACACAAGCTACATATATTTGACACATCAAAGTACCAATGTTAACTTATTTTATAATGTGATTTGTAAAGGTTGCTAAGAAAACATTAGGTGGTAGTGACTCAAATCCTCAAAGTTACCTTTACTTAGAAAATAAGTAGTACATCACAAACAACTCACCTGTATATAATAAATGTAATTGTAAAAATACCTACCAATTAAATACTGAATCTGAATGTGTCTAGCACTGTCTTAATTGTTTTTTTAAGAGAGAGAGAGAGAGAGAGAGATTTTTTTTAATATTTATATATATTTTTTAGTTTTCGGTGGACAACATCTTTATTTTATTTTTATGCGGTGCTGAGGATCGAACCCAGAGCCTCTGCTCGAGCCACATCCCTAGCCCCTGTCTTAATTGTTTTGTCATGTAATTTATTTATTCCTAGCAACAACTCTATGGGCTATTCTCCATCTTACAAATGAGAAAACAGACCACTTATTCAAGTTAGTACAGTGATATAGCCAAAATTCAAACCAGGGTATTGTAATACAAGTATTAGAAATTTATTCTGGGTATAATCTCTAAAACCCCTGCCTCTCCCCAGTGTAAACATCTAAATTTATGGCATAGTCATTCATCTCTAGTTGTTCAAGCCAACTGAATCATCTGGGAATCAATTCTTTTTTTTTTTATTCTTTTTTTTAATTTTATTATTGGTCGTTCAAAACATTACATAGTTCTTAATACATCATATTACACGGTTTGATTCAAGTGGGTTATGAACTCCCACTTTTACCCCGTATACAGATTGCTGTATCACATCAGTTACCCTTCCATTGATTGACATATTGCCTTTCTAGTGTCTGATGTATTCTGCTGTCTGTCCTATTCTCTACTATCCCCCCTCCCCTCCCCTCCCCTCCCCTTTTCTCTATCTACCCCTTCTACTGTAAATCATTTCTTCCATTTGTATTATCTTATCTTACCCCTCCTTTCCTCTTATATGTCATTTTGTATAACCCTGAGGATCGCCTTCCATTTCCATGCGATTTCCCTTCTCACTCCCTTTCCCTCCCACCTCTCATCCCTGTTTAATGTAAATCTTCTTCTCAAGCTCTTCGTCCTTACCCTATCCTTGTTTACTCCCCTTATATCTTCTTCCCTTGTCCTCATCCTTGTTTGCATCTGTCTACTTCTTACCACCTCTAAGTCTAGCACTCAATTAAAGTAGTCACCTCTTGTCTCCCTGTTTCCATTCTTATCACTCTACAGTGCATTCTCATCTAAAAGCTGAAGTGATGTATCAGAAATAGAAAGATCTCCTTCCCTCTAATGGCTTCCCATCACACTAGGAAAATAAAAAATATTTTATTATGACCTAAAAGGCAATTCAATATTTTGTCCCTGCCTGTTACAGTTTGTATACGAGGTCCTCCTCTTCCCACAAAGCCTCTGTGTTAATGCAGAAATGTTCAGAGGTAAAATGATTAGATTGAAAGCTGTGACCTAATAGGTCTATCCTATTTGCATGGGCTGACAGGTAGAATCTATAGGCAGGTGGGTCACTCTGGAAGAGTTCATCTTCCTTGTGGCCCCTTTTCCTTCTCTCCCCAATACCCCCATGCCCTCCTACCATGATGGTCTGCCTCATCTTGGGCTCAGAGCAATGGAGTTGGCTCACTATAGACTGAACCTCTGAAACCATGAGCCAAAATAAACTTTTACTCCTTTAATTTGTCCTGGCAGGTATTTTGGTCACAGTGATGAAAAGTTGACTAACACACTGCTTCTCTCTAAACCTAGATATTATTCTCTACTTCTATATATGTTTTGGCCACATCAGCCTTCCCATTACTCCTACATACACAAAGCACATCTCTTCCCTTACTACCTCCTCTTTATAGATTTCCCTGAGGTTTAACTGAATCTTTCAAAACTCTGCTCAAATGTCACTTCCTAACTACCTAAGAATACTCATTCTCTTGGGGCTGGGGTTGTGGCTCAGGGGTAGAACACTCGCCTACCATGCTTGAGGCACTGAGTTTGATCCTCAGCACCACATAAATGCAAAATAAAGATATTGTGTCTACTTAAAACTAAAAAATATTAAAAAAAGAATACTCATTCTCAGTCTCAAGTTACTCTCTACACCCAAATCCTTAATTTTTCCTCTTCATAGTAGGCGACACTCCCCAAAATACAATTTATTCATTTGACATGATTATTATCTGTTATAACCCAATCCAAAGATATAAGTTTTCTGTCTATTGTTCCTAATGTATTTCCAGCATCTAGAACACTTATTAGGCACAAAGTAAGCACTCATGAAATTACCTGATAATACAAGAACAATGCATACAATGACAATTGCATATTTTTAAAAACATAAACAAAAATATAATAACATACTAATTATTTTGGCAATATAGGTGAATTTTTCTAATTTTTCCTTAATAAACACGAATTACTCTTTAATGGGAAATATTAATGCTCATGCACTAATACAACCTTCCTCGAACTAAGTTAAAAAAAAAACAACACAGGAATTGTTAGTATTGTGCACATATTTATATAGTAAAATACCAATGGATATTCACTTTTTTGTTGTTACTACTTTTCTGGTGGCATTCTCTCCAAACCTTTCTTTAGTGAACATTCTTTCTTTTAAATTAAAAAAGAAAGATAAACATTATTCAGATATATGAAAAGGTGAGTGGCATTTGTGCAGTTTCCCATTACTGCTTGCAAGAGCATAAAAAGGGGCAAATGAACAACCACATGAGGTAGGATCCAGGAAGTATATTTAGGGAAAACTTCCAAATTTCTTGACTAAAATTTTGGGTCATTGAAAGATATTACCAAGGGTGACTTCGGAATCTTCTCCTCTGGAGATGTTCCTTTCAAAGAATAAACAAAATAACTTTAGTACATTACTGCCCAAAGGCAAGGATATCAACTACTACATGATTCTCAAGGTTCTTTTCAGACCCTTTCTGACTATACCACTCACTTGATTTCACACTCTGAATATTCTTGATCATTAAAGAAAAAAGTTATAGTACATACAGTGCCATAACTTCATCATAATTCTAAGTTCAAACTAAGTAATTCTCATAGTAAGAAATTTCCAACCTGAGAATGTCTAAATTACATCCTTAGAGCCCTTTGCAATCTGTTAAGTAAAAACCTTAGAGTCTAAAAAAAAGGGTGTGTGTGTGGATTTTAACAAGTAGGTCAGTTCAAAGCTGAAAACTAAAATTTCATGAATACAAATGTAGATCTCCAAAGAAACCATAGAGACTCTATCACTGAACAATGTTATACATATATAGGAAATTGCTATCAGTGAATCTGTAAAATTTAGATGACAGGCTGTCCCTCAAAAAAATACACACATACATTTTTAAAAATTCTGTAAACTGTGAAGGCATTACAACCGTTCAGAGTATTCTATAAAATGGGAGCATTAACAGTATGAATAACAATTATCTACTTCTATGTATGTGTAGGGCTGTGCATGTGTGTCTGTGTGTATGTGTGTGTGTGTGTGCGGCTAATCGTTTTTGCAAATTTATGAAATCCATAGAATTTTAGAACAAAGACATTTAAAATATTAATTAGAACTTGTATTTTCTCTGAACTTAAGTAGCTAATCTCTCAGTAGAGCGATGATTGGGTCTAAAGACTATGTTGGAGGTCCCTCTCATAGTTCAAATTTTAGTATCAAATTTCTTAGGTGAGAACTACAATGTTCCTTGAAAACAAAAACCCCATGTATTTCTTGTTCATTACTTTAGCTCTGCTGGGCCGGGGTTGTGGCTCAGTGGTAGAACACTTGCCTAGCATGCATGAGGTACTTGAGTTCAATCCCGGGCACCACATAAAAAAATAAAAATAAAAAAATAAATTACTGCAGCTCTGAACCATGGAACAATAGCTGACACACAGTAGGCATTTGATATATATCTATATGAAATTAATCCACTTGTTAACCAATTTCACATTATAGAACACCTGTGACTATTATATAAGATCCTAATTTATGTGCACTAAACATGGTGGCTACCTGACTTGATGAATAAGTGATAAAAAAGCTGGATAAAACCTCTTGCCCATTTCCTTTAACCTATCTAATCTCCTTACCTCTGAGAAAAACATCACTTAACCAGGCATATCCCATCAAATGGGTAATGAAATGCTTCTAAAAACATAGTTCACAGAAAATAATGCTTTATCATTTCAAAATCATTGACAATTTTTGTAGGTAGGAAAATTTAAGAACATCAAATATCAGCATTTTCTATATGGATAAAAAAATTACCATTCATTATGAGACCAACAGTAACCACAAGTATTCAAATCAAGAACATAGACCATCATTAATAATTGCAATTTAAAACCATATGTGTATTAATTCCTAATATTTAACTTGTTAAACAAAAACAAACATGGAATTTTTAAAACCTACATTTTAACTCTTCAGATAAACGCTGCTTTAAGTCACTGAATTACTACCAGCAAAAAACTTACCGCCTGTCACTTCACACATTGGTGTGATTGCAGAGTCATCCAAAGGCACACCTGTCAACTGCTCTGATTCTACTGACATGGTGCCAGGCAACCGCAACACTAATGCAAACAGTCTCTGATCCCAACGAAAAGGTTCCTTGGTCAGTTCACTTCCAGGCAAAGGGGAATTAAGAGGTAAGTGGAG